TATATATATATATATATAGAGAGGTATGTATATATATATATATATATATATATATATAGATATATATATATATATATATGTGTGTGTATGTGTATGTATATATATATATATATATATATATATATATATATATATATATATTCTATTTAAGTTTTTAGTCTATTCAAGTATATTATTTAAGCCCACTTATTTTTAATCTATTTACTCAAAGCTCCCCATGTATATTTCATTTATATTTTTAGCCTATTCAATTATATCTTTTTTTTTTAATCTATTCAATTATATTATTTAAGTCCACTTACTCAGAGCCCCCGTGTCTGACTTGCTCTCATCTTCTATTTTTCAACTTTGTTACGTTTCTTGAAAAAGAAAAAAAAAATTTGTTCTCTCCCACAGTCTCACTAATAGCAGTTAAATTGCCACCCACCGACAATCGTTTAGCATTTGACAACTTCTCTCTCATCTTAATTTTCAGATTGGGTATCAATGAGAAGTCGATTGTGTCAATTTGATAATCGACTTGATATTCATGTTTCTTAAATTTTTATAGCAATTTATCTTTCACGATTCGTTTTGGATTATCATCTGAAAGTGAAGGGAAAAAAATGCGTATCAAATTTTTATCTCAAATTTCTTTTATAGCAAAAAAATTTTCGGGGCCGCTGCCCCCGAACCCCCCGTGTGTTTAAGCCCCCCCTCACCAAACTTTTTGGCCTCGCCACTGATTATAAGCCATTAGGGAAGATTAATTTTTTTCATGTTAATTATTAATTAGTTGTTAATTACAAACAAATCACATATAATCCGAGACAAGAACCCTGTGAATATATCATGCTATATATCAGTGATATATTATGGGGTCCCTAATTTGTTTGCATGTGCATCGATTAGAACATTATGGCATGTTCTATGTTGCTATGCCTACACTTATATAAATATGTATTGTAATAAATAATAATTCATAAAATTGTAAATAAAGACAATTTATTACGAAATTACCCCAACATTGTTTACGCAAAATTAGGGGTCAAACCGGTCAATATAAAGAGTTATGATTCAGGTTCACGTTCTGGTGTCTGGTTTCTCTGTCCTATTGCACGAATGTAAAATCTATTGATTCCTTTTTTTTATTCTGCAACAATTCAAGCTATATATGTGGTAATGGTCAGATGTACGTTAGAATTGATTAATTAATTAATTCTGTAATTTAAATTAGATTAAATTAATATGGATAATTAATGATTATTATATGTAATTACGTTATCATGAGCACACATGTGACTTCCTTGGTTCCGACAAAAAAAAAATATACACAAGTGAAAAATAAATTAATATTTTCTGTGAGCAATAATTTAAAAAATTGTTACACAGGGGTGTATTGAGTCGAAAGTTTAAAGTATAGGCGCACAATTAATAAAAAATAAGGTGAAAAGGATTAAAAGGAAAAAGAATAGCCGAAATGGGGGTTGTGGCATGTGGGGCCCGAGGCACGTGAAGCGCCTTTTTCAAGTGTGCAATCTTATCTATACGTCACATCGGGAACTCTCATCTTTGCCTCTTATGTATCTATAGTCTATACATACAACCAAAACTCTATTTCCTTTATAAATTAAATCTAATCATCTTTTTTTTGGGTATTATTTTTTGAATCATATAATAACTTAGTAGAGTAGGATTTATATTTTTAATTAATATATAATTAGAACTGACAGTTGAGTCGGGCCGGGCTTAATCGAAACTAACCTTCTTTTACTAATTTTAATTTTACAAATCACCAAATTTTACTTGGTTTTTGCAAATTATTACTTACTACGTTTACAATCAGTTTAAAAACTGAAAAGTAGTTTATATCTATAGTATAAGAAGTGAAGGGTGTTTTAGAACATTTTGATTGGTGGGTGGGTCCGTTCGCAACTACACAACGAGTGGAGGTTCAATGTCCTCAACCGGGACGAGTTGGCAAGAAATGCAGCTACATTGACGCGGACTTAGCACTCCGACGATCAAGTCAGTAAGGATCAATATGTTACGATGAATCTTAGGAAGCATAGATCATTCCATATGAGATGATATGCAGCCATTTAGATCCTTCTTACCCGGATCCCAATAGCTTCCCAAAACCAGGACAAGCGCATGCCTACCGTCGATATCGTCATTATCACTACAAAATTTTTGTCCGTCCACCCGTATTCCAGGCCATCATTTTCACAATTTCTTGATTATTTAAATTATAACTTTGACTTCTCAAACCGTAAAATTTACATTTCGTCGTTGGACCATGAAATTTTGGGGCTCGAAAGGGACTTTGGGAGGGATACATATTTTCGAATATGATGCATTTGGAATTTTACTTTTTGATGAAGATGCATAATTATCCTTCTCCTATCTCCATCCAAAAATGTTTCATTTGACATTTTTCCAAGGTTTTTATATACTCACCTCAAAATTAATTAATCCATTGACCATGATTAATAATCAACTATTAATTACCCATAAAATAGAATTATATTCACCTAACCTCCCTTAAAATGATCTCAATATATGGCCCATAAGAGAAGCAAGGCACTGCTGGCCCAATAAACCAAAACTCGGCCCATTAGTACACAAACACAAATCATTAACAGAACATTGTTTAATTAGCTTCCCTTTTAATGTCAAAGTCATAATACAACAATGACAAAAATGAAGTTAAATTGTTAAATTACAATATCTTATAATATTTATATGATATAAATAAAATTATTATTTTAATTTTTCTAATGTGGCCACTATTCATTGTCAAATGACCGTATAACCCCCCATAAACCTACAAAGTTACAAAAATAATTAATAAAAAAAAAAAAAAAAAAATCAAATTTACATTCCTGCAAAAGTCAGAAAAACACAAGTAAGAAGGACATTTGCATGAAGAATGAACCAACAAACAAACAAACACAACCTCAAATTTGTCCATCAGATTTGGCACTTTCACTCCCAACACCAGAACAATTCTTCTCTTCTTCGTCCCGTTTAAGGTTGTCCGAAGAACGGCTCCTCCTAGGGTTTTGAACGGCGTGGATTTTAGGATCGTACGTCTGGGAGGCGAGATAGTTCAATGCCGTTACTATATCTGCGACAAGTGGCCTCATGCTAGGCTGCTCTTGTATGCACATTGCAGCTATTGCCAAAGCTTGGTATAATCCTCGTACTGGATACATGCCCTGCAGCGCGGGGTCCGCCATCTGGTGGAATTTCTTACGGTCCTTAAATAACGGCTTCGCCTACAAAATAAAAAATAACATCGTAAATTTTTTTTTCGGACTCAAATTTCATCAAGAAACTAAGGAATTGCAAATAACATGTTCATATATAAAAAAAAAAGGGAATATTTCCCGGGTTTATAGCATTGGGTACCCCTGTGATAACTATTTGTCAAAAAAACTTCTCGTATTATAAATATTAACAAAATTCCCCCCTATGATTCAAATTTCTTAGCAAACTACCCCCGAGAAACGTACCATTTAGGGGGATTGTGTGCTAAAAAAATGAATCATAGGGTTCTTTTTGCTAATATTTATAACACACTGAGTTTTTTAGCAATTTGGTATAACAGAAGGGTACAAAAGGCAATAAATTCAATATTTATGAGTAGTTCTCCCCTGTTCTCAAATGTAACTATCTGCTCCTTGAATTCAATAGTTTTTACTTTTTAATGTGTACATAACACTAACTCATTCAACTCGATTTTTGCACGATTTTATTTTATTTTATAAAATAATAAATATAGAAAAAACTAACCCATTCGACTAGGTTTTGCTCCGAACCGGTTCTTCTACTATCAATAGCTCTCCTCCCCGTAATAATCTCCAAGAGAACAACTCCAAAGCTATAGATATCCGATTTGAACGTGAGTTGACCGGTCATGGCGTAATCGGGTGCGCAGTAACCGTACGTACCCATCACTCTCGTGGAGACATGTGTCTGGTCCCCAGAGGGCCCCACTTTTGCCAGACCGAAATCCGACAATTTAGGATGATACCCCTCCCCCAGCAAAATGTTCGAACACTTCAAATCACGGTATATAACCGGCGGCGTCATCTTGTTGTGCAAATACTCCAACCCGTCTGCCGCTCCCGCCGCTATCTTCATTCTTGTGTTCCAATCCAATAACCTTCTAGAAGTTCGAGGCCCTTCACAAATCAAAATACATAAATTAAAAAATAAAAAATAAATAAACGGGCGAGGTGGGCCTCACGCAATGGTTGAGCCAGCATAGGACCAAACAGGGCCACGGCCCCCTCAACGTTAAAGCTACTATTCGTGTATAGTAGCTTTAACGTTTCTTAAGTAAATAAATAAAAGCACGAAATAAAAAAAAAAAAAAAAAAAGAGGTTGGGCCCACGACAAACCATGTAAATGATCCTCCAAAGAACCGAGAGGCATGTACTCATAGACCAAAAGCCTTTGATCACCCTCGGCACAATAACCGATCAATTTAACGAGATTAGGGTGCTCGGCATTGCTCAATGTTAGAACTTCGACCACGAATTCTCTAATCCCTTGGCACCCGTTTCTATCTAGTTGTTTTATTGCCACAACCTGCAAACGGAAGACAAGCAACCAAAAAAAAATAATAATAATAAAAATTTGATTTCACGCGAGAATATAATTAATTATTGATTTGTTATTTCGTTGCTCGTTCAACTGACCTCACCGGAATCTTGCAGAGAGCCCTTGTAAACTTTTCCGAAACCGCCCTCGCCGAGAAAATGTTCGTCCTTGAAATTCTCGGTTGCAGTTACTAAATCAACCAAGGCAAATTTCTTTGCCTTGAAGCCATCAGTTTCCGTATCGCTATTAGGCTTCGGACTACTCGCTTTTGTCTCTTTCTCCGGGATTTTCGAGGAAGAAGGAGACAATACTTTGGGCTCCTCCTTCACAAACCTATGTGGGGTCACCTTGGAAAAATCTAAAACAACACACCATTAATACAATAAACAACAATTTTTTTTTTTTTTGTAATACATTGAAAATTAAATCTCTTAAAAAGAAATTGGAAATTAGATCATCCTAATACAAACAAAAAAGAAGACACTTGTAATAAAACATTTATGAATCATTCGATTTCAGCTTCCATATCAACAATGTATACATACAAATTCATATACATACATGCATATGAATATGAGATCATATCAAATAACAAAGGGTAAAAAAAAAATCAACATAGCAAAAGATACATGCAGTTCATTCAAACTACATTATCTCCCCATGAGAATTGCACAGCCAAACATGCAAATAAATTTAAATATAAAAATAAAAAAAATAAACAAACTGGAAATAAATAATCAAATCCTTGATGGTTATTAAGAAAAATATATTTGAAAACAAAATAACAAAAGATCGATTTTTTAGGAGAACCCATAATCGGAAAAAAATTAAATAAATAAATTGAAATAAATTCAATATTTTAGAGATATATATATATATATATATATATATATATATATATAATATACCTGGAGGCGACTGTATATTATGATGATGATGATGATGTTCATCTCTTCTAAAACGATTATCTTTGTTACTATTCTTTCTCTTTTTATATTGCTTTCTATCAATCGATGATTCTCCGCCGCAAGGGAAACACCCCATCCCTTCTTCCTCTCTCTCTCTCTCTATTTCTTCCCCTTTCACTCTCTCTCTCTCTATATCTATACACACGTGATTTATTTATATAATTTCTGTGTATTTCACATGCTTTTTTTTCTCAGCTACAGATTACAGAGAACGGGGAAAGAAAAAGAGTAATGCAAACGACGAGATTTTTTTTTTTTTTTTTTTTCCAGAAAGAGAAGAAAGGAAGAAGAGAGAGAGACAAAGAGAGGAGAGAGAGAGAGAGAAAGAACTCAACCTTAACATTTGTTTTTGTTTTCTTTTCAACCTTTCAACGTCATACACGGGTTTCTATCCTCTGCAACGCACGCGCAGTGTTCACATTAAGACCCTCCAACGGATGTCTGCCACGTCAGACTAGTTGCCGCACGCGTGTAAGACGTGTGCGCTTCTGAATGGGTGAACTTATTTCTCGGGATGCACGGGATCTTTTTTACATGCGTTTTTTTTTGTTATATGGTAATGCTTGTCTCACATGGCTGTGAGGGGAGATATGTGACGGACGCGGTGAAAAGTAAATTAAGCAGTGGGCCCCGCTTCGCCTGCCGAAGAGGCATTGGTTAGGTGGGGCTGCAATTGCTAGGCTCGGCGGAGGCGTTGACTATTTCAGATTCAGCCAGTAGGAGATGGACACGTGTTCAGGTGAAGTTTGATTTGCTGTTCCGCAATTACTGCGCAGTTAATTTTGGGGTGCCTTTATTAATTTATTTTCCAAATTTGGTGAATATTTCCGATTTGTGTGTCAGTGGGAGATGACAATATTTTATTTCCAATCTTTTTAGATTTTACTGACGCGGTCAAAAGTATAAATTAGGAAAATTTAATAAGTGAGAGAGTGGAATTTTTCCTATTTTACATTTGAAGAAAAAAAACATGCAAACTTTAGTGACTCTTCATCTAGAAGGAACACAAGATTGTTCGGGTGTTCACTAGTCCGATAAATCGATCGACTTGAATCGAGCTGAAAATTCAGTACGTACTAATGCGAACTGAAGGCTGAAATATTTAATAAATATTTATTTATTTATTTTCTTTTTTTTTTAATTTTTTTAAGATTATTAACAAATTATAAAACACTTTTAGATTGATATTTTTTTGCATTACTTACAAATTAGTCTTTTTTTACAATCACTTTTATTTTTAAGGTCGATTGTTGAAATTTGAGTGTCAAATTTAAGAATTAATTAATTTAAATATTACTCTTTACAATTTTTAAAATACTAAAATATAGTTTCAAATTTTTGTGTTTTAGATAGATGAAATATTGATTTTCTAGTAATGAATTCAGTAAATTTCAGGCTAACGGTAAAAAAAATCAATTCACTGAATCCACCTTAAATAATTGAAGTAATGATCAATAAAGGCACTCAAATTTCAAACTTGTATTTAAAATTGTTGACAGAGGTCGTGGACAAATTTTCAGCTGTTTAGAAAAAGAAAAAAACAAATAGAAAGCGTGTTTTGTTAGTACTGTTACATAAATGCGCCATCCTTTGTTACATTTACATGGTTTGACTTTGTAATTGTATGGAGAAATTTTGTAGGGCTATTGCTTGTTTCTGAGTTCCTGCATAATAAATTTCTCAAATTGTTGACTATGCATAATGTACACGTAATTATTATGAAATGAAAACATATAAATACTTTTTGACGTTACGTATCTGCATTACGTTCTCGTATAATAATTTGTAAATTATACAAGACATGTAAATTGTATTTAGGTTATTTGAGACAAATTCACTTGCTCTAACAACTGGTTTAGATATGTTCATTTTTTAAATAATTTATTTTATAAAAAAAAAAATTAGAATCAAAAGTTAGTTTGAATAGCATTATTTATTATTCGGACAAAAGATGTGGTCTTCTGATAAGAAAATATGTGTGACTATGATTCAACTTAATAATTAGAGGTTTAGACGTGTGGTGTTTCTCCCATTATGGTTATTAGGAATCAGTTGATCTTTGGAATTTGGATATAATTTGTCTGGTATTGACTAAATTGCACGCTCCATATCAGATGTTAATTGGAATTTGATGATTCTAGAGTCACATCAACTGATATAGTCGAAGTATGATGACTTGGAAGAGCAAAGTGGATCACTAGCTCACGAGCTTGATGATTTTGAGATGTCTATGATTAGAGAATATGTAAACTGAGTAGGGAGTTGATCCGACGGAAACCCCTCCGACGCTCAAGTCAAGTGCGTGGATAGCAAAAGTCGTAGATAGAATACGAGCAGTTGTATAGTTCGAATATTAAACGTACATTAAGGAATGAGTTAAAACATTTATTTATACCTCATTGATTGGGCTGCAGTTTAATTAGTTGAAATTGTCGGACACAAATCTTATTTAAAGGTGATTGGGTCTCGGTGACAGTGTTCTTCAATACTGGGTTCGTATCCCCATATGTAAAAAAATTGTAACCACATTGAGTTAGCCCAATTATGCATATCATTAAGCCCCCAGTAGATAAGCTCTCGATAAGTAAGAAAATTGTAGGCACATTGGATTAGCTCAATTAGTATATCATTAAACCCCCAGTATGTAAAAAAAAATGATAGGTCTATTGCGTTAGCCCAAGGCATATCAGAATTATTTTTCAAATCAAAATCGACAGAATTCAAAATTTTAGGAAGAGCCGGTGAATGTTTTTTTAGGGAGAATAAATCATATTATTATGCGTAAAAATTCAACAAGAGGTCAAGACCCTCCGTAAAGTCATTTTAAAAGAAATCTTAGCAAATGCGAGGATCAGTTGCGAGTGCGCACACGGTCGTTTGTCACAACAGTTTATACATACAAAAGATAATAGTTTTTTTTTTATGGTTTTACATTCGATTTTTACTTAGCACTAAGTTTTAAGTGGGATTTATGTAATGCTTTCATAACACGAGAGATCTCTCTGTAATTATATATGACCTCAGGGGATGGAAATGTAATTTACTCACTATTTACTCTGGAGTAAAAGTAAAATTTCGAAAAAATCAATTCATTTATAATTTTCTTTTAATGATATTACTATTCGGAAGTTTTTTTTTTTTTTAGGTAATAAATAATAATTGTTAGTTTAAAAAGAAAAAAAAAATTGTGGAGGTGTGCGAGGACCGGTTGAACCGGTCTTGTTGAAATTCCTGATTAATGGGTATTTCATTAGCAGGCCCAACACAATATTTTGTGGATTACGAACACAAGCCCGTAACTCCGGGCTTAAAATCGATGTTCAAGCCCAGCCCGATTCCGATACGCTGCTTCTGCGACGCCGTTTTGGCGGGAAATTGAGCTTAAGCCGCAGGGTGAAATACTACTCGAGAAGGAAAATTTTGAGAAAATGGCGAATAAGCTCATCAGTGAAATGAATCTGCCTAAATCAATAGCCAATGTGTTTGCCGCTCGTAATATCATCACCGCCAAGGTACTACTGCGTTCTGTTTGCTACTGAATCTGATGCGTTGCAGAGTAATTGTTGTGTCGAAACTTGCGTGCGTACTGCGTTCGTGTGCAGGTTTTTTTAATTTTTTTTAGGGCATAAGCTGAACTTTGATGTATCTGTAAATAATGCCAACACGGTTGGAATTGGGCATTTTTTTTAGGGCGTAATTCAAATTTGGTAAACTGAAATAGGTGTTTGATACAATCTCTAGGAGGTAATGAAAAACTGAATCTCATGATTTTTGTTGAATTTTTGTCTGCTTCTAGGATGCATTATCGCGAAGTGAGTTTGAGTTGATGGAGTTGTTGGATGTCGGGTTGGAAGAAGTAATAGTTGCAGTGGCGCATATTAGTGAAATTGCGTGCCCACCGAATCAGACGGTAACTGTATTATGGATGAAATTTTGGGAATGTGATTTTGATAGTTGTTTCAGTCATCATATTGATTTTGCCGAAAACTGTAGCATCGTCGTCTTGATAACTTTTCTCGACTGTGATATTAGGCTATGTCACTG